ACCCGGCGTCAAAGTCTCCATGGTTGGGTCTAGCAGGATGCAGTCCAAGCAGATTAGGGGGATATCATCTTCGTCAGATACGGGTTCTATTTTTCTCCCTTTTTTGGTTTGTTTTGTGGGGGTTTTTTCCTGATTTTGGTTGGTTTGTTACTGAAGAGAAGGGGATTGGGTTGGGATTTAGGGTTTTCGATTACTTGTGCGTTTGAAGTTGATGATTTTGTGTTTTTTCTTGGGGGTTATCACAGGTTGGTTGTGTTCGTCGCTGTACGTAGGGTTTGGGGGGGGGGGGGGGGTGTGCGAGTATGACTGCGGGTGTTTGTTTGATTTCTGGGTTAGGGTTTGGAGGATTTGCAGTTTGGGGTTTTTTTTTTTTGTGCGTAGTGGTGACTCACTATGTGCATGTTGCGTTAATCTGGACTTTACATTACAGGGTTTTTAATTTGAGTGCCTGGTCTGTGCGTAGTGGTGCACTACCATGTGCGTGGTGGGGTTAATATGGTTTGGGCATTACATTTTTATTTTTATACACATTTGCTTTGGTAGTTGCTCATGGGGTTGATATTCTATGGTGTTTTGGTTTGGGGTTTGGGATTGTGCATCATGTGTGTTTTGTTTTCTGTTTTTTTACTTCACACATCACCGTGGTGGGTTTTATTTACATTGCATAGGTGAAGTTAAATTAAAGTTGTAAGGTTGAATTACTCTGTAAAAAATAAGTTTAATTCATATGTGTTGCATTAAATCTCTTCGTGTAGTTGTATTTACAATGTGAAGTTAAATTCAATTTGTAAGGTTGGTTTGCACAAAAAAAAAGATATGTTTAAGTGGTATGTATTGTCATTTTTATTTATAAAAGTCTATTGTGGGGGCTTAGAATGTTTGGTTACTTGGTCTGTGCGTAGGGGTGACTCACTAGGTGCATGTTGCGTTAATCTGGACGTGGCATTACAGGTTTACTTACAGCTTTATGGTATGTGTTCGATTGTAGGGTAGGGTTTTTTTTTTGCTCGGGTGTTTCATTTTTATTGTTATTTTTTGGGGTTTCCTTTTTTTTTTTTTTTTTTTTTGGGGGGTGGGGGGGGGGGGGGTGTCGTTGCTTGTGTGCTTTTTGACGGTGGCCGGACTGTGACAGTTTGAGTAGGCGAGGCGGGTGTAGCTACTTTTTATTTCCTAGTTCCCGAGGTGTATAGTCGCGTTTCAGCATACTCTGTGCGTGGTTGATTTATGGCATGTGCATTTTACTGTGTAACTACATACTGTTTGGTTGGGGATTTTGGAGGGTAGTTTTTTCATGTGCGTTTGTTACTGTTTGGTGGTGCATACTAATTCATATGTCCATATATTAAATTCTCCCTTTTACTACTCGTCTTTGTTAAGCAATAGTTGGATTCTAACATTGTAGACGGCTGATGAGATTTTTGCTGACCACGGCGTGTTTGCTATGTGTCACATGGAGTCGTATGTCAGACAGCCGTTCGCTTCATGGGACTGCGGGCTTCGGAGGGGTGATGCACGGGCCATGCTTGCACTACGCGTGCGCTTTTCGTACGAAATTCTACTATTTCTGGCTAACACACACCGTGTATCGAATATCAGTTGTGTTGTGGGTTCCGGGGGCATGCTCGTTGACACCTTATATGCTGCTTAAAATACTTTATGTTTGTATCTTCATTCTTATTACGATGACTTTTGATGTATTTCGTTTATTTTAGTTAATTTGAACCGTTTTTTTTTTTTAAATTCAACTCTGTGTAATGCAATTTCCCCTCTCGTCGTATTCATTTTTTAACAATTTGCTTGTGTTATTCTATTCCATGTTAATGTTCATATCTGCAGACGCACATGCTTCTCCAAGCATATGCACATACACGCACACACCTTCACACATAATCGGGTACGGTGCACAAACCTACCAACATACACGCACACACTAGTGTCTATAAAAAATACGTTTCATAGCAGACCAACCAAATAATACCTATACCGTCTAATTCATTCAAAATGAACTAACAATATCATTACACGCACATCCCTTTATAATAATTATTTTGGATACAAAATGAAAAACAAACAAATTTCAAACCCCCTTAATCTACAACATGCACATGCCAATTTAAACGCACGCACACACCAATAGTCTACCCATTACCCAATTGCTTTTGCATTATTCTTTTTAATAAAAATCAGAAACAAAAACCCCCCAATTGCTTCGTGTTGCCGTTACATATTAATTGTTCAAAACACATCAACAAAACACAATAACAAATGCGTTAAATGTTTCGTACGCACACGCGTAGGTCCACAATGCACAAACAGCATCACCTACCCGTGTTAGTTCTCGCCATCTTAAACCTCTGGACTGTTTGTGCGCTTCAACACTTTGTTCACGGTTTGACTGTTACACCTACTAACAACAATGGATTACTACTACTTTCCATTAATTTTGTGGTCTTTCATTATGTCAAAGATTCCAATCTACTTCTAACCAAAATTAGCACATTAATACAATTACTTTTAAACCCACCTATTTAAAATATGTCCTTATTTACATTATATTCCTCATTCAATCTCATCCATCCATTACAAATTAACAAATGGATGGAATGTCTACGCACATACTATTTGCTGTCTACGCATCATCCCGCCATCCTATCGGTCAAACAAATAACCCTGTACGCACCCACCTGAACACGAACACGCTACGCACGTCAATGGACTACTACTTCGTCCAACAACCACACCCCCACCGGGGGAAAAAAACCCATTCTTCAGTATATGCACAGACGTTGACATGTGAATGCACTTACCGGTACTGCTACTAGCCATTTGAGAAATGTGCTCCGGTGTTGTTCCTGCCCTCCCACCGCTTCATTTTTTCCTTTAGCATTGTCCACGCCACGTTCACTTCTTCAAGCTTTGTAATAATTGAAACTATTAATTTCCATCCACAAATCCCTAAAATAATGCTTCACATTCCAATAATATTATGTCCATAAATAAATTAGAATTACAATTACTAATATAACCTTTACATTGGTAAATGTCCTTAATTACTATCCTAATTTATTATAATCTCAACCATTGATGGAAATTGAATCAATGGATATTAGGAGGCCTCATGGTCTCATCTATTAGAGTGGGTGCACCGGATTCGAAGCCTATATATATATATATATATATATATATATATATATATATATATATATATATATATATATATATATATATATATATATATATATATATATATATAGAGAGAGAGAGAGAGAGAGAGAGAGAGAGAGAATTAGGAGGAGAGAGGCCCAACTGAGATTAGTTTAAACAAAGAGTTATGGACCAAACAACACCCGAAAAAAGGTTCTATTACATGTACTCCCAAATCGTACTTTATGATGTGATGAGTTTTGATAAACTATTTTTTTATGTGAGTCTCAATACAAGCAATCATTATTGTGTGGACCATGGTCCACACCAGCTGTGTAGGCTTACATTCAATATAAAAATAATGTGCTTTTAGTATATTAAAAATGTACATTGTATTTAGGGGATATAGATTATTTGTGTACTGAGTATACATTATATTATATAATGTACATTCAGTACATAGATAATATACATTTAATATATTAAAAATGTACTTTTTGTTATGGACTACACAATGTGGTGTAAACTATTTGTCAACATTAATATTTTATGTATGAAAGTAAAAGTCGAGAGAGTACTTAGGGGTCGTTTACTTCATTCTTCTGTTTTTCCATTTCCAGTTTTCCATTTTTCTATTTCTCCAGTTTTCCTTCTCCATTTCTCCATTTCTCCAGTTTTCCTTCTCCATTTCTCCATTTCTCCAGTTTTTTTAATTTTCATTCGCTATTTCTCCATTTTTTCATTTTTCTAATAATAATAATAATAATAATAATAATAATAATACACCAATAAAAACCTTACACTAAATAATTTACAACCGATTACAAAGCAACATACCCAATAATAACATGTATACAAATACAAAAGTGATTTTTTTTTTAAGTAATAAGCATATATTTTTTATAAAAATAAATATTATTATTTGTAAATATATAAGAAATCTATATTCAAATTTTATAATTACAGCTAAAAATACAAAAGTGAAGAAATTATTGCAATAAAAATTATAGAAAAAGTAATAATAATAATAATAATAATAATAATAATAATAATAATAATAATAAGAAAGAATTCGAAAAAAAAGTGGGGAAAAACGAAGGGAAGAAAGAAAGGGGAATAATAATAATAATAATACTAATAATAATAATAATAATAATAATAATAATAATAATTAAAAAAGAAGAAAGAATTCGAAAGAAAAAAAAAAGAGGGGAAAAACGAAGGGAAGAAAAAAAGGGGGAATAATAATAATAATAATAATAATAATAATAATAATAATAATAAAAGAATTTGAAAAAAAAAAAGAAAGGAGGGGAAAAACGAATGTAAGAAAGAAATAATAATAATAATAATAATAATAATAATAATAATAATAATTAAAAAAGAAGAAAGAATTCGAAAGAAAAAAAAAAAACAGAGGGGAAAAAACGAAGGGAAGAAAGAAAGGGGGGAAACAGAAGAAAGAAAGAAGCTGTGAACTGTGAAGAATAAAATAGGCGCAGGCAGGAATCGATCACAGGACCTCGCGCACAAATGCCACTGTTCACCCGTGCGTTCCATTCCTCCATTTGGAGAATGGTTATTTTGCTTTCTCCAAATTTGTATTAGAAGTGGAAGAATGGAGATGAGATTGGATTTGGAAGAATAAATTTAGTAAACAAGTTTTCCAATTTCCATTTTTCCACTTCTTCAATTCTCCAATTTTTTGGAAAATTCTCTATTTTTCCAAGTTGGTAAACGACCCCTTAATATTTTCTAATGAAGAAACATATACAACGTACAAACTCTGAGTAACTCATTAGTCATTATTGCTGTCCGACTCATTATGAGGGGCATAACTGCTGTCGGACTCAGTGAGTAACTCATTTTCCCAAAGTCAGTGTACCATTGTGAGTTCAAAGTATTTCTCTGTCAATTTTTTGCGATTCGATTGCCCTACTTGATCCAGGTATCAACTGGAAACTGGTTTCTTCTCTTAAATTCTTATTTTCAGCATTCTACTCACAGGTTTTCAATTTTGGTATTGCGTTATGGGGCTCACTCGAATGATCTTGTGAATTCTTGAATTCCAATGATGCTTTTAACGCACGATAACGAATTTCATGTTTCAAATTGTGAAATTATATGCATGAATTTCAGTTCTATTGAATTTTATTGTTCTTTTAATTTGCATTTTAGGTTTATTTTGAATTTCAGGTTTCTTTTTCAAACCTTAAATTGAATCTTAACAGGGAAGAGATAATAATTTAGTTATTACCAGTATTTTGAAGCATTGAAGTTTTTAACTTAGCAGTTCTTTTATGGTTTTCGACATTTTGTTTACTGAGATCTTGTTCTTTGTGCCTCACACCTGTTCTGTTTATGTTTGTTTTTCTTTTTAGAACCTTGCTGCCAGTCTGTTGATTAATTGGCACAATTTTTTTTTATTATATCTGCCAGTCTATTAATAGCAGGTCACTAATTGGTTTTAATGGTTCCAAGCTATTTATTTCTTACTTATCATCAGATCTGGCCTGAGACAATCTGGGAGCATCCCTTATTTACCATATTTTTCATATGGAACTCCCGAATTCAACCCAGAATCATGAAGTCAAGCCGCCTAAGAATATATTCATTCTATCGGGCCAAAGCAACATGGCTGGTCGTGGTGGAGTAGACAAGAACAAGAAATGGGATGGCGTAGTTCCTCCTGAATGTAGCCCCGACTCATCCAAAATCTTCCGTCTTAGTGCACAGCTCTGCTGGGAGGTGGCTTGTGAACCACTGCATCATGACATTGATGCCAAGAAGACCTGTGGTGTTGGACCAGGAATGTCGTTTTCAAATGCGGTAAAGGACAGTGTGGGTGTTTTTGGCCTTGTTCCCTGTGCGGTAGGTGGAACTGCGATAAAGGAGTGGGCACGCGGGGAACATTTGTATGAGAACATGGTGAAGAGAGCGAAATCTGCCATTCGTGATGGCGGTTGCGAGATCAAGGCATTGCTGTGGTACCAGGGTGAGAGTGATACATCATCAAAACATGATGCCGAGAGTTACAGAGCTAATATGGAAACACTAATACACAACATCCGCAACGATTTGGATTTGCCAACTCTGCCAATTATTCAGGTCAGTTCACCTATTATAGTGTCAATGTAAATGCCATTTTCATCAATTTTACTGGGCATTACTTTGTACTATTTGTCTATTTATATTTTGAGTTAATACCAGCTGGGGTCCTCCGAGTATAGTAGCATCCCCACGTTTAGTCCTAAACTTTCAATTTAATCACCTATGGTCCTTCAACTTTTAAATTTAATCAGTCGTGGTTCTTCCCTTAGTTTATGTAAGGGCATAGTTAGTACCAGGGCTGGTTAAAATTTTGAAAGTTGAAGGACCATGGGTGGTTAAATTTGAAAGTCCAAGGACTACGGGTGGTTAAATTGAAAGTTTAGGACTAAATGTGGCGGTGCCACTATATTTGGACTACCCAGCTGGTTTTAACTCATATTTTAAGGTAATATTCCTAGTTATAGTCAAAGATTCAAAACAATGAAAATTCTCATGCTTGGTATGATTCTTTCACTTTGTAACTTACTGTACATCAAAATAAAGTCACTTATCAAATTTTATCGTTTCCTGCCTTTGTGAATTAGAGAATTAATAATTTAAAAGCGTGAGGATATTCCAAAGGAGTTAAGAAAGGAAATGATAAATTCATTCATGCATTAATGGCATGGTACCGTTCGACCTCAAGCTCTTAACTGCTATTACTTGTTCTGATATGCAAACTCTTGTCTAAGGCTCTGTGATGTCCCATTCATCATTGTAGTTAATTGGAGTTTTCTTGTACAAATGAGACATAAGCTATCATGTTATGAATCAGAAAACTAACCTAGGACACAAGTTTTACCTCTTGCCCTTTATGAATTGATGGGAGGTGGAACAAAAGTTTTTTTTTGTGAAGAAAATGACACGCAATCTGCCCGTGCAGTGCACAGGCCAGCTGGGCGCGTGCACTGGGTCCTCGTTATTTTTTTTTGGTCAGAATTGTTTTTCTTTTTTTCTTTTTCTCTCTCTCTCTCTCTCATCTCTCCTAGTTGGCCTGAAAATACCAACACTAATGATATTGTGTTATTTGGTGAATACCATTAAGGTTGCTATTGCATCAGGGGATAAAAAATACATTGAGGAAGTAAGAAAAGCGCAAAAGGAAATTGACCTTCCAAATGTCGTGTGCATTGATGCCTGGGGATTGGAGCTCAAGGAAGATAATCTCCATTTGACCACAGAAGCCCAGGTTCAACTTGGCCAAATGCTTGCAGAAGCATATCTTACCCGGTTTGCGTCAAACGTTCCTTCTACTGCTCTTTAAGCCATGGAGTGTTCTTATTAGCTTTGGAGTCTCTGAATGTGAATGTGTGAAAAACATTCTAGCACTTATTCTACTGTTCAGAACAAGGGAGAAATCATTGTTTGGATATGCATTTGTGATAGAATAGCTCTGATCCGATCCTCTCACGATGATCTTTTGGACTATAATTCATCATTTTAACAATATTTGTTGATGGTGGTGACTAGATCTTTATTTGTTGTTTGATCCTCTGTATCAACTATTGCTTTTAATTTGTTAGTTGATGTTTTTCCTTCTCAACTTCATCTTTAGAATACATTCGGAGTAATATATTCTCTCATTATTTATAGGAATAGTATGATATATGGAATAGTATGATATATGAGCATGGTTGAAAAAATTGCTAGGCGCTTGGGGGCGCCTAGGCGGCAATTATACGCCCGTGTATTTTTTATTGTATTTTTTCTTTTTTTTTTTTTTTAAAAAAAATTTAAACATTTTTTTAGTTTTTTAAAACTTGATAATTATAAACTATTTAATATTAAAATACTAACTTAAAAAACATTTAGAGTTTGAACAATTTAAGATTATTTCGTTCAAAACTATCGTTTTGAGTGAAATAATCCATTTAAAAAATGAAACATATTGCCCAACTCATATTAACCACAATCAATGAACGATACATGTGATAACGATGCAGAATTACACACTACAGAGTCTGACATATTTATTTAGCTACATAGTGCACAAAATTTTCCGATGAGTTGAGAGTGATGATGTCCAATCTGAAAAGCTCCCTTTCAATTGTGACTTCCTACTGACGTCCCGTCAGTTGGGTTTGAAATTCAATGCCCTAGTTTTTGAATCAACAAGAATGATGGATGGTGTATTAGGGCCCATGGCCCATGACTTGGCACAAGAAGGAATGAGTAATTAGCAATACTAATGCTATGCATCCGTTTGCACCATGCATATGTTGTGCATCCGTTTGCACCATGCATGGTGCATACGGATGCCAACACGATGTCGTTTTATTAAAAAATGCGCGTCTCCCCTTTAAAAAAAATTCAGGTTCGATTCCCAGCAACAACATTATATTGTTCATTCATTCTGGAATTTTAGTTTATAGATTATGGAATTATAGTTCATTGATTATGGAATTATAGTTCATCAATTATGGAATTGTAGTTCATCGATTCTGAAATTTTAGTTTATAGATTATGAAATTTTAGTTCATTCATTCTGGAATTTTTAGTTCATAGATTAGATTATGGAATTATAGTTCATCGATTATGGAATTATAGTTTATCGATTATGGAATTTTAGTTCATATGTTGTTGCTGGGAATCGAACCTGATTTTTTTTTTATAAGGGGAGACGCGCGTTTTATTAAAACGACGTCATTTTTGCATCCGTATACACCATGCATGGTGCATACGGATGCACAACATAATTTGCCCATTAGGGTCTATTCGTAGTACAATAAGGATTGAGCTTATTATTAATATAATAAAGATTGAATTTGCTATTTATAATGTAATAAGGATTGAACTAATTATCTATAATGTAGTAGGATTGGGCTCCCTATTTTCAATGTAATCTCCCAATATGAGATAGTCTATGATTTTTATTCCTAACTTGTAGGGCTCTTAGCCCAGAATATGTATAAAAAATAGTTATTTTGTGCATCCGTAGGGTCTATTCGTAGTACAATAAGGATTTGAGCTTATTATTAATATAATAAAGATTGAATTTGCTATTCATAATGTAATAAAGATTGAGCTAATTATCCATAATGTAGTAGGATTGGGCTCCCTATTTTCAATGTAACCTCCCAATATGAGATAGTCTATGATTTTTATTCCTAACTTGTAGGGCTCTTAGCCCAGAATATGTATAAAAAATAGTTATTTTGTGCATCCGTATGCACCATAAAAATAGTTATTTTGTGCATCCGTATGCACCATTCATGGTGCATACGGATGCAAAAACAACGTCGTTTTATTAAAAACGCGCATTCCACTTTAAAAAAAAATTCAGTTTCGATTCCCCTCAACAGCATTATGTTGTTCATTCATTCTGGAATTTTAGTTAATAGATTCCGGAATTTTAGTTCATAGATTCTAAATTTTTAGTTCATCGACTATGGAATTTTAGTTCATCGATTCTGGAATTTTAGTTCATTGATTTTAGAATTTTAGTTCATTCATTCTGGAATTTTAGTTCATAGATTCTGGAATTTTAGTTCATTGATTCTGGATATATAGTTCAAATAATGCACAATATAATGTTGTTGCTGGGAATCGAAACTGATTTTTTTAAGTGAGACGCGCGCTTTTAATAAAACAACGTCGCTTTTGCATCCGTATGCACCATGCACAACATAATTTGTCATGTACAAATAGACTTCTCGTACATGCGGAGAGTAAACAATTCTCAGTAATACAAAATATTTACTCTGTCTAAATTCTTTCTATATTTCTCATATACTCGTTATTTAATGGTAATGTTGGCCAACCATTGACAGCCTAAAAGTTATAAAACCAGTATTGGCATCGTCCATGAGGACATATACAAAAAATCACGTTCGTTCCTCAAACCTAAATTACAAATCCCGAAACCCTAGTCATGGTGATCACCCCCCGACAAACCCAATCTGGTCAGTCGACTCACGGCATGTAGTTGACTAGACTCCCATGCGTTGTCCCGTTGCTCAGCACTAACGGCAGAGAGAAACCGCGAAGAACCCAAGAGACATACGATCAACCATACAACCACCTATTTGGTCGATAAGCCCCCATCGGTTGACCCCAAAAGACCCTGCCTGAGGGTGGTAGAAGCTGTAAAACGCCTCCTGAAGGCCTTAAGATGCAACCTTGCGCCAGAAGCGATGGTCCCCCTACTAGCAGACCCCACCGGTCGCCAAAAACTCCGAGAATAGTCAAACATGACCGGCTTTCGGAGAGAACGCGAAGACCAGGTTCGTTGGTGAATCGATAAAATCGACCAACCTGATCAATCGTGGACCGTTTGGGTCCTCGTTGCTACATTGTTGTCCTTATTATTGGATATTTGTGAATAAATCAATACACAAAAAATATATAAAATATATATTTGTCCCGAAAAATGAAATTTAATTTATAGAAAATTAATTCCAACCAATTTTGGTAGAAACCACCCCATATATATTAACCAAATAGGGATTTATTTTAACAAAATTATCCCACCACAACTAGTGCGAAACTAGTACACGGGACTTAATTTCCACGAAATTAATCCCACCACAACTAGTACGAAAATCCGAAAGGTTAACGAATTGGGACTGAAAATCACACCCGAGTGATCCGCAAGCACTGAAACGGTGCAGCACGAAAGGAGCTCACTAAAGAACACGAAAGGAGCTCCAATTCTCCAATGCTCAAATTAAGCTACCAAAGCTTAATTACTCAACTTTCGTGTAGCACGAAAGGAGCTCCACTCCCAATTCTCCAAAATAAGCTTTTTCAAAGCTTACGACTTCGTAATGTGCTAGCGGCACATTACTTGAATTAAGCTTCCGTGTTTTAAGCTCAAAGCTTAACAAAAAGCACATCTCGTGCTTAACGATTCATTAGCATAAAATGCTAATTAACTAATTGCTTAATTATCCTTTCGTCATTTGGACTTCTCTCAAATAGGTTCACCTTGAGAATCAATTTCTCATTCACCTATTACCCATTTTGAGCGTACATTATATCTAATTCTTTGTCTCACTACGAAGAACCCGAATCCACCTTGACCCGACCCAAATCGGAAGTAGATCCCACATATATTTGTACCACAAAATAATCACTCAAAATGTCCTTTTTTAGCTAAAAATTCCAACAATCCCCACATGAATGAAAATTGATTTTCGGGACGAAGAAAAATCGACACGAACGTGCTCAACGGTCGATCCCTACATAGCATAGGTAGGTGTTTCCCTTTAAACCTTGCCTTGTGAAGATATGTTACTCTACTGGCTGTATGGTAGAACTTGATGTCTTTGAACCAACTGCCGTTTGTGTAGACGATGACATATCCCACACAGGAACCTTCCAACCTTTGTTCTGTTCTCATGGGTGTGCCCGTTTTGGTAATGGGTCACTTTCCTGGTTTAGCGAGAGTTTCTAAAGAATTGAGTTCATCAATTCTACTTTGAAGCGACCCCACTTCTCTCTAACATAGGTGATTCTTTATCGAGTATCCCGCATACTCACACATGTCAACCGACATTCGAATCATTAAAGCATCAACATGCTTGCCTCGTGCGGGAGCCACTGTTCTAACGAGGAATGGTAGTGAGTCCGAGACTCCCACAGTTACATGCTTCGTTCCATAATTTAGTTGTCCCATTGAATCTAGGTGCCAGCTAGGTTGGGTGTCCACTATAGAACTTTTATTCCATGGGCTTCAAACCAATTCCTCATGTCAATTTCTCCACAACCATTTGCTTACCCTCGGGTTAGCGAGTTAGCGGCCACTACGTTATCTTTTGACGTCAATAGAGATAACCCCTGTTGTGAGAAATTGTTTAATGGTATTATGTTTACGACTTATAAGTCTAGACTTACCATAACTCTGTACTCTTCCAATTTTGGCTTGACTATCGCCACGCACACAAATTGGAGGTACGAGTTTACCTCTAGGAACATTCCCGAAAAAGGGCATGACCATTCAGCCTATCGCTCGCGACATGAGTCTAAGGCTCTCAACTTAGATCCCGTCATGGATCTTAGCTATCACAAATCGTTTCAAGAATTTCCTTACAACCAACTGCACTGTCCTACGTAAACACGTAGCCTTCAATGGACTTAGCGTCCTTTGATATCGTTTTAACGTGCTATACTTTCCAAATACAGCTAGATATCCCATGTAATGCAGTCCAAAGTCACGAACATACCTTAAGTATCTCATAACTTCCACTATTGCCTTCTAGTGCGTATCACTAGGGTTACTCGTATGTATACCGAGTTTGTTAACCGCAAGGCAATATCCGGCCTAGTACAACCCATCAGATACAATTAAACCACCACTAATCTTAATGTATTCTCCGTGAGAAATACAATCTCCGTAATTATTTGCTAGTTGTACGTTAGTATCTAACGATGTCCAAGCCACTTAATTGTCATCCTTTGCAAGGATTCAATCAACACAATGAGATTGGCTAACCACAGACCATCCGGTCTTCTCACGATTTTTATCCCGAGGATTAAATCCGCCAAA